GAAAAAAAAAAAAAAAAAAAAAAAACCACGTGCTGGACTTCGCCTTGATATTGATTTCTGCTCTCGACATCTCTGATAAATCCAGATCTCGACTCATCCCACGCCATAATGTCCGGCCTTGTTTCTGACGAAATTGCGGAGGACTACAAGAGTTCATTGGAGGATCTAACCACCAACGATGGAATCCAGATCCGCACTCTGACTGTTATTGCCAAAGAGAATACCGAACACGCAATGGCTATCTCCCGGGTCCTGGAGAACCACATTCGATCAGTAGGTGCTCCAGATTTTTTTTTTCGTGGCGTAGTACAGGATGAGTACTAACCGCTATGTAGACTCCACCCCTGCAGAAGCTTCCAGCCCTCTATGTAGCTGATTCAATCGTGAAGAACGTTGGAAGCCCCTACACCCTCTTCCTTGGCCGGAACATGTACCAGACATTCATGAATGTTTATACTCTCGTCGATGGAAACACCCGAAGGAAGCTGGATGAGATGCTCAACACATGGAAGCAGCCGGCCCCAGGCTCCCTGGACACGCGCCCAGTCTTCCCTCCGGACATCACACGCAACATCGAGAGTGCTCTCATCAAAGCACGCACTGCGGCTTTGCAACAACAACAGGCCAGGGCCCAACCGGACATCATCGGCCGTAGTCGTGGAAATGGGACTCCAACTGGGTGGTCAAACAGCTCTACACCACCTCAGAACATGTCTCGGCCTTCACAAAACCACCAGTATCCCAATAATGGTCATTCCAATTCGGTAATACTACTTTCGTCTGTGTGTCACGTTTTGAAGCTAATTTGGATCTCATAGACACCTCCCCAGACACATCGACAAGATATTGATTTGAGCTATCTCAATCGAGACGTGGATGCCCTGATCGCTTCTGCAAAAATTGACTTTGCTAACAGTCCTTTTAACCCCGTCTCTCAACAACGCTTGAAAGCGTTGGTGGATCTTCAAGCCATTCTACAGAAACAACAGCTTGCCCCGGATCAGTTGAAACTTGTCCGTGATCAGGTCTCTGCTCTTGCTGCCACAAGACCGCCGTCGGCTGCCCCTAATGCCACTACGAATGGCCCTGCAGTGTCCGCTCCTCCACAGATTCCCACCCCACCAGCCCAACCAGTCTCGCAGCCCCTTCAGCAACTATTGAACCCTAACACTCTCGCCGAGCTGATCAAAGCTACCGCTTCCCGTCAACAGTCCACCCCACCACCTCCAATTCCGGCAGCGCTGCCTCAGATGCCCCAATATCCTCACCAAAGCGTCCCTCCACAGACAGCGCCGGAGAACCCTCTTATTGCGGCCTTGAGGGCACGTGGACTTCTACCTGGTGGATCGACGCCCTCATCTCTTACGCCTTCGACTTCGACGCCAGTTTCTGGTAGATCTAATCTGCCATTCATCTTGCCCCATGGAATGCAGCCTACACCGACAGCTGCGTCTCAAACCCCAATTCCTCCCAATGCATCCTCTGGAGTCCCCATGACCACCGCGTCTATGAAGATCCCTCGATTCGGACTTATTGTCTCTCTTTATGATTCCCGGCCGAACCGATGTGGAACTTGCGGCCGTCGCTTCTTGACCACGGACGAAGGCAAGGAAATGAAAGCCCGGCATCTGGACTGGCATTTCAAGACCAATCAGCGCATGACCGAGTCCTCCCGGCGGGCTCAGAATCGCAGCTGGTATGTTGACGAAAGGGTATGTTCATCTCTTGTATTACTCCAGGTTTCATTTCTAACTTCAGTAGGACTGGATCAAATCTCGGGAGGCTGGCGACGAGAATGGTGCTGCGGATCCCCAAGCCACCACCCAAGGAGCTGCCGGCGTGGATGGCAATACCAAGCAAGAGCCACCAAAGCCGTGGATTCGAGCTCCGAACGATGCCACTCTCCGCAACACCCCGTGCCCCATCTGCCAGGAGAAATTCGAATCGACCTGGTCTGAAGATGTCCAGGACTGGATCTGGCAAGACGCGACCAAGGTCGGAAGTCGTGTGTATCATGCCAGCTGCTATTCCGAAGTGACTAAGGGCCCTGCACCGACGCGCCAGACACGGACCAGCACGCCCGACCTAGTCCTGGGCAAGCGGAAAGCTGAAGTGAGTTCCTGTGAGAGTGTTTAGATGTTCAGGGAGCTAACTATAGATAGGGAACTGAATCTCCAAGTCAGAAAACGCGTATCAAGACCGAGATCTGATCTTTTTGTACCATACTTCGAACTATTACTCTTGCATTGCATAGGGAATTATCTCCCTGGAGTTAATTAGCGAATTGAGTCCTTCTATATATGTACTTCGCAACAAAATCGTATCCACGTTGCAATCCACCGTAGGATTCACCTACCGAGCTGCCCCGCTCAGCCCATCCCCGCCTAATTTCCCCGTAAAATAAATTCCTTTCGGCCGTAAACTGTTTTTTCTTTAATCTGATCTTCAACTATTGTACATTTGAACTCTATTCGTCAAGCTTACTTCCACCATGGCGCCGCACATTGTTCGATGGGGTATTATGGGTATGAGATTCTGTTTCCATGAAAATCAGAAAAACAAAGCTAACTGATTGGTAGCCACTGGCTGGATCGCTGAGAGTAAGATCTCCGCTTCTACAATACCTGGGTGTATAAAGACAAGAACCCATGAAATAACCTATCCCCGACAGTATTCACAAATGACCTTCTCATCGACCCTAATGTCCGCGATGCCCCTGACGTAGCCCACCAAGTCGTGGCCGTCGCCTCGTCCTCGTCCAAGGACAAAGCTGAGCAATTCATCTCGGCTCGAGGAATCACAACCCCCTGCTCCGCATACGGTGACTACGAGACTCTCGTGGCCGACCCCAACGTCGATGTCATCTACGTCGCAACCCCGCACTCCCACCACTACCAGAACGTCAGACTCGCGCTGGAGGCAGGCAAGAATGTTCTCTGTGAGAAAGCCTTCACTGTCAACGCTGCTCAGACTAAGATTCTCGTCGAGATTGCCCGCAAGAAGAATCTCTTCCTTATGGAAGCTGTCTGGACTCGCTACTTCCCCCTCAGCATTCAGATCCGCGAGCTCATCAAGAAGGGTGAGATCGGCGAGGTTCTCCGTGTCGTGGCTGATACGAGCTTCGGTGATGATGTTGAGACGAAATGGGGTACCACTCACCGCATGGTGAACCCTGATTTGGCCGGTGGTGCTCTCCTGGATTGTAGGTTCTTTTTTTCTTCTCTTTTTTTTTGTTCATTGATTGTCCCCCGATGAAAGAAAGAGACAGAAGACCTTAACTAATTTGCCCTTCTAGTGGGTATCTACTCCTTGACCTGGGTCTTCCAGACTCTCTACCACACCCTACCCCGAGACCAGAGGAAGCCACCCACTGTCTCCTCGCAGATGACTCCTTATCACCTCACCGGTGCAGACGAGTCCACAACCATGCTCCTGAGCTTCCCAACAAGCACTCCATCTAATGGCCCGCACCCACAACAATCGCACGGTGTAGCCATGACCAACATCCGTGTCTCTGCTGATCCGGATGAGAAGGGCTCGGCTGGTCCTCCCATCCGTATTCAGGGCACTAAGGGCGAGATCCAGGTGTATGGCCAGCCCTTCCGGCCAGAGAGATACCGTATCATTCCCAAGAAGGGTGCCGGTGAGATTCGTGAGGTTCAGTGCCCGTTCCCTGGGAATGGTAAGGGTATGTACTGGGAAGCTGATGAGGTTGCTCGTTGTCTCCGCGATGGCAAGCTCGAGAGTGAGGGCTTGCCATTGGAAGAGAGTATCGTGATTATGGAGGTCATGGATGAGGTGCGAAGGCAGGGTGGTCTGACCTATCCTCGGAAGATTGAGTCGACTGAGTACCCTCAGGGATTTTAGGTATGAGTTCCAAAGTTACATGGCAAGTTCAGATAATACTATGTACCATGAATATATGTACATCCTCTTCACCCTCCCCGATCTTAAACTCTGTGGAAGATTTCGTACCATTTTGATCACGGTCATAGAGGTTATCCTTCGGCTTGATTGAAGTTCATGCTACCTACATATGTAGGTAGCAGCGACTTCATAGGGCTATGGGCCTGGTACTAATGTACGGCCAACCAACCTCACTCTAATCATTTTTCACCCTCCCCAATCTTAGACGTTTGCCTCATGTTTTATTTGCTATAAAAGCCCATCCTTTGCACTCCCGATGCTTCTTCCTTCTTCAGCCTCTCTCCCCCCTTTTCTTCAACCTCTCTTCTCTTTTATTTTTTTTCCTTTCCATCCCTCCTTCCAAGCTTGGATATCCTTCACCGTGGAGTCTACGTCTAGAACAGAGGGTACACGAAAACTCCGTGTTGATAAGAACCGGAATCCCATCAATACTAAAGTCAAGACTGGTGGTCCCCCCAGCATAAGAGCCGCAGGTACGCTCAATGCGTTCTCCTTGATGCTCACAATCGGCAACTGGGCGTGTGGACCGGTATTGAACGGTGTATCAAGATCGACCTGTTCTTCATCAACGACTCGGAAAGGCCACATATTGATGTCCGGGTGAGCGTCAAACACGACAACCAGAAGCGGGACCCTGTGAACCTTCACTTCCGTATCCCAGCCGATCAGATCAAGAATATCGAGTGCTGGTGCATCGTTCCTTCAGATGAGGTACGTTCATACCCTTTGGTTCCATTGTCTTCTTTGCTTTCTATTTGATTGCTCTTGCGAAAACGGCCAGCTAACCATTGAAACATATACAGGATCAGAATACTGCCCCGGTGCCTTTCGAGGTCGCTGTAGACACTGCGAGTGAGGATGATGGGATTGTTGCTTTCACTGAGGTTCTGCAGATGGACTTTGGACCTTAGGAGAACAACAATATTTATTTTCTCGTCCGAGACAAGAAACCCCACGTGGTCACCATCCAGATGCATTCCAACGATAACTTTGATGGAAAATATGATCGAATTAGCACTGGTCTCTTCAACGACACCGTCACATACGGGAATCAGACCGAGGCATTTCGACAAATCCGCGATATCTTCTACTCGGAGCCGGAATTTTTCTTTATTGTGAAAAGCCCGAATGTCATGAATCTCATTCTCGAATGGTGGGAGCTCAAAGTTGTAGCTCCAGAACACCCATCCATTGATAAGCAGCTTTTACCTCACCCCGACCATCCGTATCTGCAGAAGGGCGACTAATTCGAACAAGATTCCCGGCCTCAAATGAAGCCTCGAATGCAATGGTCTTTCAGAGATGCTTACGAATGCAACGCGTGTGTCGGATATGGTGCAATCATACAGCACGAACTCGAACACAAAGCCAAGATGAATGGAAACTGGTTTGAGGCGCAGATCAAGGTTGTTCCGCATTCCTGGTATCGAGAACCGCTACATGGGATTTTTGAAAACACTTGAAGATGTCGCAAGACTGCAACGGGGGGGCATGTGTTTCTACGCTTTCACCCTGCATCTGCTAAGGATAGAGGGGATGGCCATGTCGTTCCTCCAGGTCTAAGTACTCCTCTGGATTGTGCCACTATGATTATCGACCCACCACACGTCGTATCCGATAGTGCAAGACAACCCATTTTGATTTAGATACCGAGTGCAGATACAGACCACGTCGGGGTCGAGATGACGGGGTTCGAAACTGTCCGGTGCCAGATACCTGTGAGCCACAAGCAATTTGATCAATTTCTGAGTTGCAGCAAACACCTTCAGCACTGGTCAAATGAGGAGGTTTGGACGGCTCTTATGGCAACGGATATGAAACGTCGCCCGTTGGTCGACTTTTTCGCAGGCATTGATCAGGGCAATATCGACATGGTGACAGCTCTGGGAAGAAATCAGCAAGACGTTCAGAGATTTGTGCATTATCTTCGCAGAAACCATAGGGGTCGCATCTTCGCCATTGAAGTCCCCCCTGAGACAGGAAAGACAAACCTCATGATGCAGTTCACACTCATGCATGTCCTCCGCGATGAGTTCCTTTACCCGGTGCATCTTGGACGCAACGATAGAAGTGGGTGTCGACGTTCAGAAACCTTGATAAGTCAACTTCTAGGGAGACGAACGACTCCGATCAAAAAAAGATGAAGAAGCGTCAAGTGGTTTTGATTGCCCCCACCAATGACGTGTGCGATCACATTGCACAAACCTTTGACAAATTTGTCAAGGATCCCGTTCCTAAGCGTAATCTTATGGTTATTCGCGCTCATCCGTCCTCTCTCAAGAAGGCGACAGTGCATCGCAGATACGCTGCCATTCCACATCAACCGAATCGGATGCCCCCGTCGCTGGATCTAGACACACACAGCAGCGGAAGAAGAGAATACTGCCGTTGACAATTTCACCGATGCAATACACTTACGCACTATCCGGATGCACTACGACCGGACGGAACCTGGTACCAGATCAGCGAGAGAGGGGATTAGGGACTCGCGCCTCCGGCTATTCGAGTTCTCTCTTGGTCACAGAATGCTGAAGGTGGCAGGAACGATTCCTGGGAGCCCATTCGCCAAACCTGCTCACACTTATCCTCGATTTGACGATCATTGGGAGGATCGCCTGCGCAAGGGCATTGCCCTTGACCCTGAGGACGAAAACGCATTCAAATCTGACTGCCGAAGGTTAATGCGAGACACCATTGACATGGCTGATGTTATCTGCGGGACGCCACATGTTATCGGAACGTCAAAGATGTAGCACTTCTTGCATCCCTCAGTTTGTCGATGTTGATGAGGCAGCTATGTGCAAGGAGACCGATCTACATCGTGCGCTGGCGTACTTATTCTCCGTTTGCTTCGGACTGTTTGGTGATGACCGGCAACTTGGTCCAACTGTCACAGGAACAAATCACGAGAACCCCTTCAACCGTCAAGTAAAGCTGTCGTTGTTTACTCGCATGCTGAAGGCTGTGGTATCAGCCGGGAAGCGACAAACACAGCAAAGATTGACGGGCGACATCCACGTGTTCACGAAGCACATCTTTTACGATGGGCAACTCAAGTATGGGTCTTTGCAGCTCACAGACCCTGATCGTGCTGCTGAAAAGGTTCGCGATTTCAATCGTCGAACGTACAGAATCAACAGGAACGTTGTTGCATTGAATCATAAGCACGGCTACGAAGAACAACTCCCTAGCTCTACGTCGTACTTGAACAAAGCGCACTTGGTCACCGGAATCAATCTCGTCCGTCAGCTTCTCGCAGAGGGTCTTGTACAGGCAGAGGATATTGCGATTATAACTGGGTATGAAGCCCGGTATCGCTCATACCTCGCAGCAACCGCTCGGTGCCACGAGCACGATGCATCTAACAGTGAAATGTGCGTGTGCACAAGATTGACTCGTTTCAAGGCATGGAAGCCAACATTGCCATCATTGACCTGGTGCACACTGACGATCTCGGATTTATGCGGCAGTTCCAGAGGCTCAATGTGGCTGCAAGCCGCGGCCGCTTTGGTTCGTATATTCTATACAACCAAACACGCATGAAGGATTCGTTGGATTCCACGCCAGCCCCGTTCGTCCGAAAAATGCTCGATTTCATCCGTGAAGATCAATTGTCTTGCCTAGTTCGGGGAGACCGACTTTGAGTCTGGGATCTTGACCTTGGCAATTCAACATGACTAAAGAAATGGTCTGGGATGAAGAGGAGATGAGACTATCAATGCGACTAAGGAGTGTTTTTGAGTATGGGCGTTTTTCCTCTTTCTGATTATGGGAATATGATTGGCTTTTGAGAAAATGGGAAGACACCAAAACAAGATAATACTAGTTAAAACTAATAAAAAAGATAGGGAAACCCGAAAACTCGAAGGACCATTGTAGACACATATCAGGTTTCGCAAGCAGTATATGTACATGTAGTTTATAATTGAGTATTTTATGGTACTCATGCAGCAATCCATGACAGTGGATAAAGATTTCAAGGAGAATGTGATGTTGTGGTGTTGGTTCGTAGCGTATCTAGGTGGTATTGCGGTGGAATGCGGATCATGTCTTACCGTAGTAGCTTTACTATATAGGCGGCATACATACCTACCTGGTTATTGGGATTATCCTTATATACCCTGCACCGGCACAAGTGGCGCAATATTAATGTCATCCAAGGATTGAAATTTGTTAAGATTTGAATCTTTTTTATCTACCATATCGATGATCCAGCATTCCCTCCGCAGTTCCAAGCGAAACACATAATGCACAGTCAATGTACTCAAGGCTTGATATACTTTATAATCGCATCGACGGCCTGTGGACCAACTCTCTGGATCACCCATAATCTATCCAAGATTCCCAATTGGGACGACATAATGTGCATTGACATTAATTCAAGATAATGGAACAATTTTAGTTATAGACTGTTTTATCAAGTTTTCAATTATGCAATGGGTATTGGAAACCATTGAGCATTATTCTAGCGTTTGCCACAATCATTTAAATCTGGCCCTAGAACGAGAATCTTTTACCGAGTTCTCAGTGGCGTAATCCATCTTATAGATCTGTGTAAAGCTGGGTCTATAGCGAGAAAGCGACTGCCCGTTTCGTTCATGTAGCAATAACGTCGATAACCCTTCGTCCAATGGTAAGATGGCCGAGTTGGTCCAAGGCGCCAGGTTAAGGTATACCTTAACTCCACAACTAGCAATAGTTTCCTGGTCTCGAAAGGGGCGTGGGTTCGAATCCCACTCTTATCATATTCGTTTTGTTTTTGCTCATATCACTTGCTTTTAGTGCAGTTAGTGAGTTTTGCATCAAGAATATGTAATATGGTGTGGCTCGGTAAGAAATTTTCTTTATTTCTGTGTGCCTAGTACGTCGGCAAGTTGCCTCCCTTTAACCTATAATTATAACTGAGTAGTATAAATAGAATAAGAAAATCCTATTATACC